CTTCCCTCTTGCCCCTGGAAGTGGTGGACGGTCGATGAGGCAAACTTTGCGCGAGGAGGCGGACAATATCGTCACCCGGAACGATCAGACGAGTCAGAAGATGGATCGGTGGCTGATTTGCACGAATCAGCCATTCAGCATGGTGGACAACTTCTACTTCCTTGACTTCATCGATGCTGTGAAGAAGTGCCATCCCAGTTGGTTGGACGGGCAGTATAAATTGGTGGGGGAAGACACGGGGTCACTAGTCAAGAGGTGGGAGAGAACAGGGTGCATGCTCCAGATGGAAGGGTGGTCGAACCGGAGGAACAAACCGCACCTGAACGTCATGGTGTCTTCCCCAGTCGGAACTGTGTTTTTGAAGTCGGTCTGCATGGAGGGGAGGGAGAAGGATTCGAAAGCGTACTTCAAGTTGTTGGACGGGGTGATCCAGGAGATCGGTGTGGGGTCTATTGTCGGTGTTGTGATGGACAATGCGAGGGTTTGCGCTGAAGCAGGGAAGATGGTGGAGGCCAAGTACCCCAGTATTTTTAGTGTGGGCTGCACAACCCATGCCTTGGATCTGGCCCTGGAGGACATGTACAAGTGCATGGACTGGCTGAAAGCGGTCGTCGATAAGGGCAATCAAGTTGGCAAGTTTTTCACCAACGTCGACAAGGCCCGCACAATGTACAACAGGATTGTGAACGCGTAACTCAAACGTCCGGCGGTCACAAGATTCACGACGAACTTTGAGATGCTTCAGTCGCTGAAGGCGGGGAGGAATCCGTTGGAGCTCTGTGTCTGCAATGCGGCGTGGGTGGAGAAGTTGGTGAGGGGGAAGCAGGTGGCGGCATTCAACACCGTCACCCACATCATCATGGACAAGAATGGCTTCTGGAAGGGTGTGGATAAGGCCATTGCGGTGATGGAGCCAGTTGTCAAGGTCCTTCATTTGGTGGACGGTCCAGGAGCAACTATGAGCAAAGTCTATTTCGGCATGGACGCGGTTGTGGCTAGAATGCGCACGTTGGACTGCCTGTCGGAGGCTGAGAAGGCGGATGTGGAAAAGATTTTGATGGACCGGTGGGCCTTCATGACAGAGCTGCATTGCGCGGCCGCCTTCCTCGATCCCGAGTACAGGACGCACACCATGCGAGACACGGAGATTCACGAGGGGTTCAACATCTGGCTTTACTCTTGGGCGCCGCCGGAGTTGCTGCAAGGAGAAATCAGTAGACAGGTGGACATGTGGGTGCAGGGATTAGGCACTTTGGGATCACAAAACGCAAGGGATCAGGAGAGTTCGAAGACTCCGGCGCTATGGTGGGAGGCGTTCAGGGGGTCTTTGGACCTCCTCCAACCGCAGGCAATCAAACTCCTTGCACCAGCTCATTTACGGCCAACGCCGCACGAAAATGTTGCCGGAGAGATTGAATAAGCTGGTGTATAGCAATTGGAATATCCAATTGTCAACGCGGAGAGAGCGAGGGGACGGGGAAAACATACGCATTCTCTGGACGAACGACGAGCTGGCGAGCATGGAAGTGGATGAGTGGTACAGCCAATGGGCTGCATAGGTTAGGGAAGGGACAACCGACGATGTTGCTGCAACGGAGGTCCGTGTAGACGAATTCGCCGATGCCCCGCTGGAGTGCACATGGCTACGGAACAACGAGGAGGAGAGCTTTGCGGATGATGAGGACGATATCGCCGCACTCGGTGCGCTGGAGAGAACATGGCACACAAACACGAAGCCCAGGAAGCACCGAGTGCAGGAGTTGCGAAAGAAGTCAGGTGTTCAAGAGCCCAATCCCGGGTTCGTGTATACGTTGGAGGGTCGTGACCGTGCTTTGAAGGCACGTCAAACCGGTGCAGGTGAGGGAGGAGGTGTCGGGTTGCAGGCGATGCAAGAAGAAGGCAACGACATCAGACGTTGCCGAAGAACAGCCGGTTCACAAACAAAAGAGGAAGGTCGGTGGAGGGGGATGTACCACCAAAAAAGAAGAGAGGCCGGCCTCTTCTTTCGCCCGCAAAGAAGGCCTGCGAGGAGCCGAGGCAAGAAGGCCTGCGAGGAGCCGAGGCAAGAAGGCCTGCGAGGAGGAGAACGACTGAGGTGATCGAAGACGACGAAGAAAATCTGTGTCGTAACCGGAAAAAGCAGTCTTCTTCATCCTCATCCTCATCATCTGAAGACAGTGTGCCGCAAAAATTAGAGGAGGAGGACGAAATGTCTCAGCAATCGAACGATAGTGGAGAGCCGGACGGGGACGAGTCGGAGGAGGACCCGTCGCAGGCGGAGTCTCACCGGGAAGAACAGTCGAGGGAGGAGGACGATTAGACATTAGCGAATCAGTATACTAAGTCTGACACTTTCGGGATACTAAGTCTGACTTTTGTGCTCCTAAAAACACAAACTTTGCAAACTCTGACACTTTTTTTGTCTTGAATCTTGTGATGTTTCTCGTTTCTGCCTGTGTTTGAAAAACGGACATGCTTCCTCTCTGATTGCACGCACATCGCTCAACCAGGTAAGTTCCTAAGTTCTAATCGCTGCCCCCGACGACATTTTATGGGTGGATGTGTTGTGCACAACGCCAGCATGAATCCTGCAGTGTGTGTGTCTGTGTGTGTGTGTGTGTGTGTGTGTGTGTGTGTGTGTGTGTGTGTGTGTGTTCTTCAACAAAACATAATTAAAAAAAAAATCAATCCTGCACAGCGTGTGTTTGCGTGTGCGTGTGTGTGTTCTCCAACGAAAAAAAAAAATAAAAAAAAACAATCCTGCAGAGAGTCTGTGTGCGTGTGTGTGTGTGTGTGTGTGTGTGTGTGTGTGTGTTTTGTGTGTGTGTGTGTGTGTGTGTGTGTGTGTGTGTGTGTGTGTGTTGTGTGTGTGTGTGTGTGTGTGTTGTGTGTGTGTGTGTGTGTGTTCTCCAACAAAACATTGAAAAAAAACAAAAAACAATCCTGCAGAAAGAGAGAGAGAGAGTGTGTGTGTGCGTGCATGCCTGTGTGTGTGTGTGTGTGTTCCCAAAGAAACATAAAAATAAAAAATAAAAAATAAACGATGTGCGCACCTGGCGCACATGCGGCCCGCCAGCGCGCACCCCCCAGCGCACCCGCGCGCAGTGCACCGCGCACCGGTGCGCGCGCACCTCGGGTCCGCGCACCGCGCAGCGCACAGGGTCGATGCGCCGCAAGTATGTTCAGAATATATTGGTGGTTGGCCACACGTGAAAATGTAACCTGTGACTTCGGCAATGTTCGTGCGGCAGGTCGTTATTAGCCGACTACTCCCTCCTCGCCAGCTTACCCGACCACTGCGTGGGATTTGCAGAAGGGAGGGGGAAGGCCAGTTTCCGTACCCCGCCTAAGAGAAAAGTTGGAATGAGCCCTATTTTATGCTTTGCCTTTTTGAAATTTCTGGGGGTAGGGCCTGCGGAAATTGAAATTCAGCAGCCCTTGCCCATAAAAAACTTTGGGCCAAGGGCGCGGCCAGTTTGCAAGCTCGCGCAGTGCGTTTAACATTTTTGCCAATTTGGGGACCCTAAGGAATGACAAAACCCCTACTTTTTTTTTTTTTTTTTGGACCTAATTTTTACAATGTGGTGCGCTTGGGTGCGTTGTGCGGTGCGCTGCGCGCAATGCGCAAATCGTGTGCAAATCCACGCACCGAGGTGCGCCACAACTATGGTTTATTGTAATGCCCTTTGGACTGATGATTTCCCCTACAACTTACCAATGTTGTATGAACGACATGTTTCATGACTGGCTTTACCGATTTGCGAGTAGTCTACTTAGATGATATTCTGACATTTAGTAAGACCTTAGAAGAAATCAGGAGCGCCTACAAAAATCAAATCAGGAGCGCCTACAAAAATCAAGAGCGCAAGTTTAAACTGCAAGCGAAGAAGTGTGAATGGGAGAAGCAAAAGGTCCTCCTAGGTCATGTGATAAATGGAGATGGAGTACGAACCGCGGACAGTAAGACTTCAGCGCAAAAGAAAGAAGCCCTGACGATATATGCTGTGTTCCAAATATCAAATACAAGGCACTGGCAAAAGAGGGCAGCCCTGACGCACAAACACCATGGGTGTACGTGGTTGTGAACGAATACCACGGATCTGTATCTGCACGACCATCATTGCCAAAAGCATAACGATCCATTTCAGAAACTGCAAGGGGATACCTCTCTTAAGACCTTGCTCAAGAAAGCTCCATTTTACGTAGTCATATGCCTTCTCAAAATTAAGAAGCAACAGGGGGAATGGGAACCTGGGCTCCCTTTTCCCCGCTTTGAAAATGATCTGCCTGGCAAGAAATATGTTGGTCAAGATGTTTCCAAGCACAGAGCTGGTCTGAGAAGGTGTATAAGCTGTCGGAGCACCCTTGGCAGTCGCGTGGGTAAAATTTTGGCCTGTATCTTATAGGGCGCCAATAAAACCGAGATCAGCTGCCGGTTCCAGGGATCATTACATCCACCTTTTTGTACAAGAATTTAATGTACAGTCCCAAAAGAATTTGTAAAGGCCGCTTCGCCCCCTCATTGTGTATATGCAGAAGTAGGATCACAACACCCACACCTCGCCTTACAATGTTCCACAGGCATCCATTCCGTTCCCACAACCTTACCCTCTGGAAGATCTCTATGGCACTGCTGGCCCCGTGCTCGTCAACAGGCCTTTCCAGCCAACATGCCTGCTTGTCAGAACTTTGTTTCTCACATGGTGCCCAAATCGTGTCTTGTGGCATGTTACTCATTTCATCTTCTGTCCACTGCGCCTCCTCAGTAAAAAGAAAATGGTAACACTCCCTCGCATAGCACAGTATAGAGGGAGTGGTGTGCGCCTCGAGTTTGCCTGGGTCAAAAGGGTGCTTGAGCAACCTTTTTGTGCCCCATCGACTGTGGGGAAAACTTCTCAGACAGTTTCAACTCTCGTAGTTCTTCTTGGAGGACCTCGGCTTTTGGCCAGCAGGAAGGGATTAACGTGGCTCTACAATTCGGCCACAGTACCATGTCCCATTTTCCTTTATACCAGAGGGCCGCACGTAGAACTTCCCGGTACTATGTGGGCAAAAATGGAGATCCGACAGGACAAGGCCAGCAGGAACAGTAGAAGTCCCTAGTCGTCAATGCCCAGTACTGGGCAAGCCGAAGCTTATTTCCCAGAAGGGCCCCACAACAGGCCGAATCTCTGTCAGCCTGGAAGGGCCACGAGTCACATGGGAGGCACCTGCACAGCGCAAAAGGGAGGCCCGAGCCAGGAACCTCCTCTTCTTCGATTCTGGCTTATGCGGGAGCGCTACTGCGTTATTAGGTGCCAAGATCTTCGATTACTGGGCACCACAGTCATAGGATAGCGCAGTAGAAGAGGGAGAACATGTGAGGTCGCTTAGGGAGAGATGGCAACGCCTAAGCATAGCTGAAGATAGCATACACACAGACATACAGAGAGTTGCTGGCGGTGGCATAGCCGCAAGCTTGAGAAACCTGTGTACATCACTTCAAGTTGTAAATCTTGCTGCTTTGGTGTGGTCTTGAGTGTGTTGCGTACAAATAAAGTTTGAAGCAAAAAAGGAGAATGGGTTGAGGAGATGATCAGATTGATTGTAAACAGATGTACCTGTCCAGCTGAGTTATTGCTTGGATTTCACGTATCCATCGGCTGACACCCTTATGTAGAGAGTTCAAGAAGTCCGCATCACCAATCTTATCTGCAAAGTCATCCACCTGCAACCTCCTTCCTTCCCTTTGACACTGAAGCCATCATACAGACCCATTGACAGAAACATCCATTGAGACACAGCAAAAATGTCACAAACTGTCAATAAACAAACTTCCACTCTGATGAAACATGGGGACCTCCCTGTGCGAGGCTCAAGGCCTCGATAAGCCCCACTGGGCCCTATCGTCAATACAGTCGGCCGCCCTAAGTGAAGGCAGGCCCGACCGAGGCCGATAGGCCAAATTTGGGGTCACCACGCAACTGGGGAAATTCAGGTAGTTGCGCATCGCCAGTTGGTTGAAAGCGCCCAGGCCCTGGCTGCTTTTAACAAGTGCATCTGAGGCAGTCCTGGGCAAGATACGCAACATGGACCCAACACAGGCTATGGGCAGTTGGGCACGGGTAACTGTCACAGGCCCTGGGCCTGATACGTTTGGACTGGGGCTCAGCCTCTTGGGGCCTACCGGAAGCTTCTGGACCGGGGTCCATTGCAGCCAGGCCGCACGCAGCAGGCAGCCCACTTCCATTTAGGAAAGCACCTGCCCCCGCATTATTCATTCGGGCACTGGCTGCATGCTTCACAAGCGCTGCTGCGCTAAACGCTGGCCAGGCCCATGCGCTCACGGGCAAGCAGGGAGCCATAGCCGAGCTGCGCTGCGCTGAGCTGGATGGGGCGCATGGTGGTCCTTGGGTGCACGTGGCATCTGTGAGTGGGGGATCGAGGTTGTGAGTAATACGAGAG